ACAATTTGAAGTCGCTTCTGTTCCGTGCGTAATTCGTATTACGATATTCCGACAAGTAAATTCCTCGCCGTAATTGGTTGTTGAAAAGAGACGCCGAGCTCTGGGGTTTAAAGAGCTGCAAAGGGGGATCACGTGGATGAGGGAGCTACGGACTGTGGCGGACGCGTTGTGACGACGAAGTTCGTTACAAAGTGGACGTCCCCTTCGAGCAGTCGTCCCACGAAATATTTTCACTAATGAGAAAAGCGGAGGAAAATGAACATCAGGTTAACGAGTCATTACCTTTTATGTGAACTGTTTATTCAAAACTGGTAAGATGAAATATGAACCTTGAAATATTCATTTTCAGTTTTCAACAGGGGTGGCCAGAAGTGGGGTGGCAGCTGGGACAACTTGCCTCAGGCTCCGACTTCATTGGGGCCTCCGAATGTATTTAATTCAAAAGATGTAAAAAATGTATTCATCTCTAATCCAAACTTAATGCTATAAGGTATGCCTTATCCTTAGAGAAATGAATTATCTTTATGAATCGGGGGAGGAGAGTTTTTTGTTGTTTTTTTTTTAAATGAGGGCATCAACTGCACCACGCCTCTGGTTTTCTCTGGGACCCCCCCTGCTTTTCAGTAATATTAGTGAAAGTTAATTTTAAGTACGAGTGGTTGAAGTGTAAATACTCTTCATATTTGCATTTTTCATACATATTTCGTCATTTTGAGCTAAATTGAGTTTAACCGTGTGCCATTTAAAACTAATGTAAATAAAAAGTGTGTTACATAACTTTCAAGAGTAAAATTTAAACAAAGTTAGTTTGTAAAATGTATTTTGTACGATTGATTGCATATAATATCGTGTTCTGTGTAATTTGAAAGGAAAATAATTCTCTCAATTTTCTTTTCAAATTGTTGATATATAGTCCTGGTTTATTGTTTATTTATAGTTGTGGTTCCCATTTTGCATTTCAATTTCATGATATTAATTGTACAATTTCACATGAGTTTTAATGTGAGATGTCTTAAAGAGACCTATCTGCCAAACTATGAAGAAATATGAAGAAAAAGTTAAAATCCAATTTGAAGATGAACTTTCAAGCCATCGTTGTGTTATTTACATATTTAGTCACATTAAAAACCACACCTACCGAGATATTATCAACATTTAGTCACTTTTTTTTCAAATCAGTCTTTTCTTTCCATTATCAAAACGGAAGCACATTTACGAAAGTGTCGATGAGGATAGAAATTGGGAACTATAGGAATCGAAACAGGAGTAAACGTCACCAACATTTGTTCAGGCCAATTCTTTTCTTTGTTGCCTTAAAAAAACCTTATGCCTTACCTCACCCTAGAAATATAATTTGCCATAAGGGTTTAAAAAGTTGATCTACGTTTCAACGGCGACTTTTCAATTACATTCAAGTGGCCATCCAATCATGGAGGTACGCTCAAATTGCTTATTAACAGGGTAATAAGAAGCCACATTCCTTAAGTATTTACAGAGGGTACTCACTGACAGCCTGTACCACGCCTCCAGTAAGTTGCAGGTGTTACTTATAGGAGCCGTAACGGTCCTGGTGGAGCCGGTTAGTTTTTTTCAGCCCGGCAGGTGGAAGCGGCTTCCTGCCAAGACCAACCAGCCTCAACGCGGAGGCAGGGCGGGGCGGGGCGGGGCGGGGCGGGGCGGGGCGGGGTGGGGGCGGGGCGTTGTGGGGTGAGGCCGCTCATGTAGGGAAATGAGTTTGCGGGCGTTTGAGGGCGCCTACCGGAATGAAGCGCTCACAGTGGGTCGAAATGAACTACGGAGAACTTGACGTATTTCTGTCCTACAGCAATGCGCGGTATGCTGAGAAGGTCATTCAATTGAATGTGTTTTGTGAGAAACGTAAAATCTCAACGTATATTGAGTTAGAGATACAAAAATTTTGCTTTTAGATTTATTTAGTTAAAAAACAGTAAAAACTGTACGTGACGTATGGGGGAGGAGATAATCTGCACACTTTTTCTTCAGTTCCAGAATCCCTTATCATTTTATTTATAAATAGTTAAAAGATGAGTAAAAGTTAAAGATAAATAATTAAATAAATGAATAAAATTAAATTTTAAAAATTTTGCGAGATTAGCGACATTTTAAAAACTAGACATTTTCGTTCCCGAGTTATAGCAAACTTACTAGCAACGGTAAACGAACTGCAGATTTAAAGCACATCTTGCGAATTCGTACAGTCGTGGGCATACAATGTATTTATTGGCCGTTTTTGCTATTTTCTTTTGAGTTACGACTAACGTCTATTGTTAGTATTTGTTTATTATAAAACTAAAAGTCTGTCAATTTGACGACGCACGTTCATTGTCACCATGAGATGCGCTCTTGTGATGAGAAGTTCAATAAAGAGTTGAAACATTGAATACCATCATGTATGTTTGTCACTTTGCATCACTAATTTAGTAACTTTTACTTAAAGTATTGGAATCACCTTAACAATACGATTTCGAAATTACGGTCGTAAAATCCTGTTTATGACTTGCGACTATGCGACTTCGCACACTCGTCATGTGTCAGATTTGTTAGAGCTGTTCCAAAGATGTTTAAGACTGGTGCAGGTGGAAAAGAGACACATTCAGTTTTGTACTCGAAAATTGGAATGTATTTTTGTAAATGTGTATATGGATGTCTATCTGCCTGGATAGATGGATGTGCCACAAATAAATCTGTCAGATTAGAAGCTTTTGAGCCGACTCTTGGCAAATACCTCAGGAGTCGATCTTTTTCTTCTGCTTCTCCTTCTCCTCCTTCTCCTCCTCCTTCTCCTCTTTCTCTTTCGTCTTCATACTTAGGCACGGAGCTCCTACTTTTCTTTCCATCTCTTTGGTGGTCGAGCAACAATTCTTCTTCCTCGTGGGATATAGTTATACGAGTACATTGCTCAATGAACTCTTGAGGCGTGAATTCTGTTTAAATGCCTAACCCATTTCTCTCTTTATGTTGTTACTTTTTCATTTTTGACATATGTAAGTTCTTCTCTTATACTATTATCTGTCTTGAAGTCTAATTTTGAATATTTAAAGAATCTAAAGAATTTAATTTCGCTCATTTGTAGCCTTCTGTTATCTCCTTGCGGTAATACCCAATTCTCACAGCCAAGCAGCAAAATGGGAACTGAAACATATATAAAATTTCAGGAGTGTATCTGTATTTAGTTTCTTTTCGAATGTATGAAAGTATCAGAAAGAATTAGTGGTTATATTATATTCGGAAGAATCTAGTTAAAATATATTTTTTTTGTAAAATTTCAATCCGATTGTCCAATCTTCGCCGTTGGAATGTCTCCTTTTTGTACTTATGCTTTTTTAATATGCTTTGGCCACGTGCGTCTTTTGGTGCGTTTGGGCCTAGTGTGTGGCTGGAAAGGGGAAGGAGGGAGGAGAGGGGCCGGAAGGAAACACTCGCAGCCTGCGTGTGAGGAGCGGTTATTTGTGGCCGCGAGGGCATGAAGGGGGCTGAAGGGTGCCGCTTTCGGGAGGGACTGGTGGCTGGCAAGAAACCGCCGCTGGATCGGGGTATGCCGGCGAGGGGGTATTAATTAATCGTTTAGGGAATTGCTACGTGGAGAACAAGGTGCTGTTTTTTTGTGTGGTTTCTGTTAGCAACTTGTGACGATGCTATGACAGGAAATATTTTAATTACTTCTTATACTGCTTTAGAACCTGGTGTGTAAGACTTTATTCATTCATAATGTGTGTTTATTTGCAACATATCGCTCGATCTGTGGCATATTCACGGTTTACAAACTACATCCAATTCGTTTAGTTTTCAGAAAATGTTGTTAATGCTGTCTACGCTAATGCTGTTAATGCTAAAAAAGTGGGGTTAAAAAATTAAAAAATGTAAGAAAAAGGGCCCCAGGAATGAAGTTGACCTCCCGCTCTTGTTTTAGGCCGCGCACTTCTATGAATCAGAATATTTTAATGCGCCAGAATAGACACTCGTGTGATTATTAGTTCTTAATATTGTACATAATACATTCTTAATTCTAATTATTGGTTTTATATTTTTTTGCGTCTATTAACATGTGAAAAGTGTGTGCATTTGAGGTTTTCCACTGAATTGTTAAACTTGACTGCAGAGCTGCACGAAGTTCATTCGTTATTGATCCTCGCAGAGTAGTTTGATATTTCAACTTGCTTAAATTTTGATGACAATTGTGCAACACAATTCATAGTGGATAACATTCACTTATCGCTCAATCTAGTGACTTTTTTTCATGAACACAAAATGAAAATAAACACTCCGTTGCTAGTTCAACCAACGAACCCGTCAAATGCAGTTTTTACTTGTTTTTTCGTGGCCCTTGAACTAAAATAAGAGTTATTTCATATTCATTAAATTTCAATTGGACCTAATTTTAGAAGGCGAACTTAAAACGATATCCACAAAATCCACAGACTGTGAAATGGGAAATTAAATAAGTAATTAAAAAGCGTCTCTATTCTTAACATTCCTAAGAGTTCAAAAAAGTTACTGTCATTAGTAAAATTATTGTACCCAGTGCACAATCAGTTTTATATTTTTATATATTCTAAAGAAAATTACGTTACGATTTTTAAGAAAATTCGAAAAAATACTGTATTAGCCAATACATAAGTTACCTTCAGGGAGGAAAGATAGTCCATTGCTATGTCCTTCCAGAAGCATATTACTAGCAATTGTAAAATGAAAAGACATGTCATTTTAAAGAAAATGCATTGCTTGTTTAATAGTAATTATAATAATAATAATAATAATTCTTCGAGCTCTTCTGAAATTTTACGTGGTGGAAGCACCCTGCAACTCCACGAGAATTAACATACACTATTCTAGCAGGTCTAATAGATTTAGTAATTGACGCATCTGGAATGAAACGTTCTCACTGACTCACTTTTCAGAAAAAAAAAAGAACTAATGGAAAGGCGGTGAAAAAAGGGAGCGACGACGGCGGCTGACGTGTGCGCGTTGTGTGTTGGCAGGCGCAGTGCGTGCCGGGCGAGGACGCCGTGATGGTGACGGTGGTGCTGGACGCGTCCTTCGACGCCATGAGCGCCCAGCAGCGCGCCGCCGCCATCAAGAACGCGGCGGGCTTCCTGGCGCTGGCGCCGTCCGCGCTGTGGCTGGGCCCGCTGCCCCGGGGCGCCGGCGCCGGCGGTGCGGGCGGCGCCGGGCGCGAAACGACCTGCTGAGCGCCGCCGTTGGTGGGGCCGGGCCCGGCACGCCGCCGCCAGCGCCACCCGGAGACCCACGGGCTGCGCTGGCCCGCGGGCTGCAGCGGGCCGGCCGCGCCCCGCACCGCCACCTCGAGGGCGCAGGCGCGCGACGGCACCCTCGCAGAGGTGGGTGCCCCATCCTAATTATCGTCCTCTTCCTCCTTGATCTTCCTTCTTCCTTCTATTTCTTCTCCCCGTCGTCCTAATTCTCCTTCCCTTCCATCGTCATTATATTATTCTTTCTCCTCCCCCCGTTTCTCCTCTAACTTTCCATTTTTTCACTTTCCCTAATGCTCCTCTTCCTCATTATTATTCATCCTTATCTTCTTTCTCCTCCCCATTCTTCCACCCATTTCGTCTCCCCATCCTAATTATTCTACTCTTCCCCTCGATCTTTATCTTCTTGTTTCTCCACCTTCCATTTTTTCACTTCTCCCAATTCTCCTTGTCCTCATTCTTATTCATATGTATCTTCTTTCTCCTCCTTCCTTTTCTCCTCCACCTTTCCTCTCATTTTTTCTCCATCCTCTTAATTCTCCTTTTCTTCCTCCTCCACCTTCATCATCTTCTTTATCCTTCTTCCTTTTATCCTCTACCTTCCATATTTTCTCCTTCCACATTCTTATTCATCTCCATTTTCTTTTTATTCCTTCAGTTTCTCGTATATCTTCCTTTCCCCATTTGTTCTCCTCTCCTTAGTCTTCTTTATCTCCTTCCTTTTCTCCGCCATTAATTAAATGCAATTAGGATAATTAGTTTCTCCTTAAATTTCGAATTCGACGTCACATGTAGAGTGACATTATATTGAAGTAGTGCTCTATCTACTGACTGCTGTTACTTCTGCTTCGTTTCCTGCTTCTTCTCTTTCTTCTTCTCTTCTCTCTCTTCTCTTTTATCATCCTTTTCCTCTGCTTCTTCTTCCTCCTTTAGTTTAGTTTCCTCTTCCTTTTCCTCGTTTCCTTTTTCTTTCCAGATCGTTCTCCATAAATAGAGGAGGGAGAAAAGGAAAAACTGTCTTCTTCCCCGCTGCTTCTTCCCATTTACCTCCTCTTTCTCTGTCCGTTTCCTCTAACACCTTTCTTATTTTCTACATGTTGATCTCCGTCCTCATTTTCCTTTTTCTCCTTTTCTTTCTTCCTTCTTGGCCTTTCCTCTTTCTAGATTTTCATCACCACCTCCATTCCTCGTCCTCTCCATCTTTATTTTCCTTATTCTGTCTTATCCTCTCTTTCTCATTCTATCATATCTTCCTTTCGTCTTCTTCCTTCGACTTAACCTGCTGCTTATTTAATTTCTTCTCTAATTTCTTCTCTTTATCGTTTTTTCTATTGTTTTTTATTTATTTTCTTTTTGTTCCTGCTATTGATTTTGTTATTCATTTTATTATAATCTTCATTTCCTTTCACCCCCTCATTATTATTATTATTATTATTATTATTATTATTATTATTATTATTATTATTATTACTGTTGTTTTTAGAATATACAGGATGTAGGGGAAAATGTGCAGTAAAATTATCTAGGTTGGCAGTTATATTATTACGTGTGTTTTTGTGCGTGCATATGTTTAAATCCATGGTGAAACATAGGAAATGTCTGCTATAATCTACAAGTTAAATTAAATTTGAATTTTACCCTAATCAAGATCGAACTAAAAATAATCTTTTAATAGCGATCTTTGCATTCGAGAAATTGATTATATTTCAATTGCATAACTACGCGATTTCCCCGGCAATTGTCTAGATTGCCTGTATCCAAATCTGTTCTTCCAAATTTCCCGATCTAGATTACGTATATTGAACGTCGAAAACACGCCAGAATTAAATGCTTCCGTAGTTTTGTAGGACAGATACCGGGGTCTCATTTCCGCAACCGAAGGATTTCAACTGCTCCTTATCTTTTCGTCGCGAGATATCATTTAAATTACAGAACATCCTCATTATGGAATTCTATAATAATGTTTCGGGTGACATTCAATTGAAACGCCATCTCTCCATTTTTCTGGGATTACTTAACTATTCATATTTTCCTATCTTTTTTATGTTTTTAAAAACTTTTTCGTAAACAAATCCCTTCTGTGATGTGATATTATGGATTAGAGACGAGCCCCAAGCAATGCTATCTCCTTTTTTTTTAATTTCCTTTGCTCTCATGTCTTGATTTGGCCCATTCGCAGACCACTCCTGGCCATCGTGTTTACGGACAGACGATCGGAGTACACTTCGAACACGAATTGCGTCGTGTTTCTCGTTCTTGGTCACTAAATCATGACGGCTCATCGCATTTCGCTAATTGTTACAAGGTCTCTAGCGCATAATCACGTACACGCGGTGCATGATGAGGCTCCCTATTGTGTGCGCTTCTCGCCAGACAGGTTAATCCCCTCGATTAGGCCATAGTCATAAAGCCCATTATCGACATAATGGCTGCTGCTGAAGACGCATATTACTGCCCATTATACCAGCGGTTTTGTTGTTTTAAACGATTTGGTAAATAGCTGTGTTTTCAAGTGTTTTCCAGTTTTCTTGGTATATTTCATGAGAACAATTCTCAATCCACATTTTTTCGTTAATCCTTGCACAGAATCAAAAACGAGTTTTATCGATGAACCCAAAATACTTTCGTTTATTCATTTCCTTTTACTTCCGCATAAATGACATTGTTCTTACAATTTCCTTAACATTTCAGTTCTTTGAATAACAATTGCCGTACATCGGCTTCTAGAAATTTGGAACTGCAAGGTGTTTTTTTTTCTCATTTGCGACATTGCCCTTTGTTTAACTGTTTTCTCATTCCGAAATGTATCAGATAATCTGTTTCCCTATTGTTTTCAGAGCCTGTATCGCGTCGGGAAGCGTTTTCGGGTGGCTTGAATTGTTAAAACGCTATTAAATTCCTTTAAAACCCATTTAAGAAGGGTTGCTCTGTCTGACGGAAACACATTTCCTTTAAGATTGTTCTGGATATATTCCGGGGAAAGCGTTCAAAGGGGAGGGGGAGTAAGTGGAAGAGCCAACGGGCGGATCGAAAGGACCGTGGGCTCTTGCCAAAACACGACCTTAGACGGCCATTTCTTGGGTTGCGTAGTTTTTGCTCCGGACGCCTTAGAGATTCTGAGACATTAATTGAAGCGTGCGACCGAACATGGAGGCAAGAGCCACTGAACAAATTGTGTGTAGCAGAGGTAAAGAAAAAAAACACTTGAGATAATGCAACATCCCCTCAACCTCCTACGACGAACTACCCCGATGTTCCACTGAACTTTGCACAAACAGAGAGGTTACAGTAATTACTGAGAATCTCTTTTGTCATGCGTGACCCAACAAAGCGAACCAAACGTTTTTATCATTAGAAGAAAACATCATTTCATCAAAAATATCAAATTTTATTAACAGGGACAAACATGCCCTACGTGGGAGCAAAAGCGAGACTAATTGATTTATTTATATCGTTCCTTCGTTCGAGAAACAAATCGGTTCGTTTAACTAAATCGAACATCCCGCACTATCTAGCCTCTTTATGAATAGAAGAGACTCGGTTGATGTTCAGCTGGAAATTTTATACGAAAGCCTTTAGTTGAACTCTTCAATTGGTATTAGTTGCAATAGAAACGCATTTACTTTTTAACTTTTTTGTGGCCTGTATTCCCAAAAAGTTGAAAATATCACTTGTAGCCAATCATTATTTTATGAAGAAAAATACAAGTTTTCGTGAACTTGTTTGAATTCGTGAGTGTTAGCGAATTCTGACCGACAGCTGCACTCTATGTTAATAAGGATTATTATCAGCGTATCACCATGGTAATTTAGGTCTTATAGAAACGTCGTTAGCGGCACAAATCTTAAGAGAGGAAAGATTCCTCAGAGTATTGGGAAGTCTGAAAGGAAGATACTTGAATCTTGTGTAACGACTATCTCAACTTTTCAGATTCCTGTGAAATGATTGTTAGTATTCTGTCGACGCTAACCATACAATTTTCTGTATTCTTGTTTCTCAAGTTTTGAAAAGAAGTCATTTTTACGATCAGAACGCGACTGCATTTGATGCAAAACTTCTTAAATTTGAAACTCACTGCCATCTGAAAAAAATAATTGGGGGTAACAAAGACTTTTGAAAGTCTGAAATATTGGAAAACTATTGGTATTGATGAAGCGTGATTAAAAAGTTTTTAAATGATCACCTAAATCATTTTTAACATAAGTTATTACATGAGTTTCCTTTCATGAAACTTCAAGTCATGCGTCTCTATTACAAAATGTTTTGAAGTGTGAAAAGCTTAATAAAGATAATAATGCTGAGAACGAACATCAGAAAAATATTGTAGGCGATCCGGTGGCCGAGATCGTTAAGGCAGTAGTGCCATAGGGATCTCGGGCCGAAGGATGTGGGTTCGAGTTCCGCCTCGGGCATTGTTGTCGGGCATTTGTGTTCGCCCTTTCACCCCTACCATCAACATATCATGACATCTTCACAGATGTCGTAACGTTAAATCCAATAGTGGTCGCTATTGACCTAGATCTTGATGCGACCTTCAATAACTACAAAAAAAAATAATTGTGCTACGAAGCGTTTGTACGTGTCAAAAATCTGTTTTACTTTGATCTTGGAACAATAATGTTCTTCATTTACGTTAAAATGTTGTTATAAGAAAACGTTCAATTTATGTCTTAATTGATTCTTGATACAATAATTTAACAAACAAATGTAACTAAAAAAGTAGTTGCGTTCAATCTTCGTAAATGTATCGCTAAAGGAGTTACAATACAGGTATGAACGTGTTCATAAATATATATTTTCGAAATCTAATATCATTAATCTGATTTTATCGAAAATAGTTTCCTTGTTCAAAGCAATTAAGTTTTGTAGAATGCTGCAAGAGCACGAGTTTTCCTACCTACTTTATAGAATTAAGATATTTTGAAAATAGATTTACATGTTTTGCGCACCTTCCGTTAGCCTCAGCAATGCAATTA